GTAAATAAATAAATAATATGCACAGTAAATAAATCACATTAAATGAATCACAGTACATAAGAAGATAAATATCGAAGCCAATGGTTCTCGAACATCTGTAACATATAAGGGATTAGTAACAAGAGAGGGGACACAACAATATGCACAGTAAATAAATTGATGGTTGTCGAATGCCTGCAACAAACAATGGGTTAGTAACAAGAGAAAGGACGAGTATGAGACGCGCGCCCACCCTCCGCGACGGCTCACGAGAAAGTGAGGAAGCTAACGCCGTTATGTATCGGGCGTACGCAGGTTTGTTCCTGTTGAATTGTTTTTGCCGGCTTGAACGACCTTCCGTGAACGACCCAAACACCGGATGGTACAGCCAGGTACGGCTATAGTACACGGCGTACACGGCTAGGTCAATAAACTGTTGTGACGCAACGTCACTAGCGCGTTGGACCGACGGAGAGCACCGATACCGAGGCACGCTCTACCGTACTCTCTCGCTCGCACACCTCCCCCCATAGATCACCGAAATTCCTCGGCACGCGTCAATACCGACGGAGAGCACCGATACCGCGGATCGCTCTACCGCTTTCGCTCGCACGCCGTGACGTCACCCGATTCCCGGAATACGGTAAGGCATTCGTGCGAGGAAAATTCTCGGAAACGGTTCAAGATTAGAAACTAAAATTTTACACAATTATATCACAGAATTATTACCGAGCTTGTGCAGGTTCGCAGGAACTATAAATTATTTATTACAATGTTACAAAACTATTTGGATAAAAATGCTAATACGAACACGCATATCTATGTATTGTCCCATAAATTTAAACAAACAATATATTTTTCAATTTACAATGACATATATGTATATTCATTATATACGAAAATCTATTATTTTTTATTTTGCATTATTATTTTAAATGACCAAATTTATGGCAAATAAATCATTTAGAAATAATTTATTTCTGAAATAAGATTTTGGAATTTATTTGCATACATCCTTATTTTCAAATAAACTTATGTGTTATTTTATTTAGAATAAATATTGGCTATTTTTATTTGTAGTTTTCATTTCAAATCAAAAGTACCTAAGCCTGCTTTATATAAAGTGAGAAGACCTTTTTTTAATACGTTTACAACGAACGGACAGAGGAGAATCCGTTTGCCACATGCGGCAGCGATCTCTTCGATTTATTATTATTAATTATCATTCATTTTTGAGAAAACAAGACTAACAATAACAATTCATTCATCACCAGTTATAAACACCTGTGTATGACAAAATGATCATGTAGTTCGTTTCAAAATTGGCTGCAGGCAAAAAAATGTTCCATATTGTCAATAATATTGATTTCCCCGCAACATCGATAATTATTACAAATGTCAATATAACGAAATATCTTTTATGCGATGTTTGTGGTGTAATAAAAATCTGTGTTTCGATTTACGTTTTTGATACATATTACTCACTTATATGTAATAATATAGGAATAAAAATATACTATTAGTCCGATATTTGAAAATATACATCCGTTCGTTGTCACTGTTATACTGTTGTAATAACAATGGAATAATAAAATAATTTACTCAAATATACATAATAATATATACACATATTCATAAAAACAATATTAAATGCAATAACTTTTTTGTACGCGAAAAAAAAACAATAGGTCCGTCGGGATTGGAACTGAAGACTCCTTTCTAATACGTCTACTTTACAGCGAACGGACGGAAGAGAATCCGTTCACGACCATGGTCCCTTCGATGATTTTCCGACGTTATTAAGATATCTGATCATTGAATATTTGCGATGGGAGCAATTGTAGATTCCGAGGGAACAAATTGGGAGCAATTTTTAAGATATAAACTGTTAAGAAACACTAATATTTGGCGCCAACTATTTTTCGGTGTGGACATCACCGGAAGTCACCTCGGATTAGTACCAATAAGCGCCACACGATGTGGAGGCTACGCATGGTCCTCCTACACGAGACAACAGGCATTTTTTCTTGCAAACTCGTTAGTTTGGGGGCGCCAAATCTAGCATTCTTGTCAATCCCACCTTGTAGAGCATTGTAGAGGCTGGTTTTCCTTGGTTATCCTGGTTATGTTGGTTAAGAATTGTTGAGGATCTTGAGCAATCTTGAGAACTGCCAGGGCCAGGAGTCAGGAGTGCCAGGACTGCTCTCTGTCACTGTCTCACAGTCACAGCACTACCAAAGGCAACCAAGGGAAGAACTGGGAATAACTGTTTTGAACTATACTTTGTTAAAGACATCGATTTGTTAATTCAATGATTGTGTAATAATAAGGCCCCAGGTAATGACAATATTTTCACTTATTTTGAAAAACTGATCCAGAAAGATCAAGTTACAGCTATATTATCTCTTCAATCCATCAATAGATTTGGCATACTTTCCCAATACTTGGAAAATAACCAATGGTCGTTCCAATCCTCAAAACGGGTACATCAAACAAAGAACTTAGTAATAATCGGCCCATTAGTCTGCTTCATATTATGGGTAAAATCTTTGAAAGATGTTTATTCTATAGGTTAACTGAATTTTTAAATACAAATGACATAATCATTAACCAGTAGTTTGGTTTCAGAGCTGGACACTCCACCACGCATCAGTTAATCGAGAGTAACACAGCAGCTGGTACACAAAATATGCGTCAACAGAAAATCTGCAATGGTATTGTTGGACTTATCAAAAGTATTTGATACTGTATGGCATAATGTTCTGCTTTTCAAACTTTCTCTAATAGGACTTCCGGTAATCTTCATTAAACTTCTTCAGTGGTATCTCACGGATAGATAAATGTATGTCGCTATTAATGGCACAAAGTTCATTAAATACCCAGTAATTGCAGGAGTTCTTGCAAGGATCTATCCTTGGACCAATACTCTTTACCTTCTTTATTAATGATCTCTGATAGTAGATAATTGGTCTCTTGCATTTTATGCTGATGATACAATTCTATTAACTTTATCAAGGAACTATAAATTATTTATTACAAAGTTACAAAACTATTTGGATAAAATAATTAATTTCTTTAGAATCTGAAAACTCATAGTTAACCCCTTCAAAACTCAGGTAATCATTTTTACCAGAAACAGAGATTTGTTCCGTGAAAATAGTGTATATATATATATATATATTAGATAGACATATTTTCGTATAAGACAATTGTAATTGTGTTAATAATGGATTGTGGGCCCGCCAAGAAATTCAAGAAGAGATTTCAGCGTCATTGGTATGACGCTGACAAATCTCTTAAGGTTTGGTTGGAAGAGGTAGTTTCTGACGAATCGAAATGCTACTGTAAGGTCTGCAATAAGGTCATCGGTTGTGGACTTTCAGAAATACGCAAGCATTCGTCTAGAAAGGTACATATTAAAAATATAGAACAACTGCATAGTAGTAATACAAAAAATAGTAGCCCAACTTTGAAGGTGGAAGAGTCGGCATCTGAGGAACTCGAAATCGAGGAACTCGAAATGAAGGAATTCGAAATCGACGAATTCGATCAGGGGCAGAGTTCTTCGTCTTCCCTTGATGAAAAAATAAAAATCGCGGAAATCAGATACGCGGCTTTCTTCGCAGAACAGAATATTCCGCTGTCGATCGCGTCTGATTTTCTTGTTCTAATGCAAGACATAGGGCAAGAGCCCCGAGTATTGCAGGGCATGAAAATTGGTCGCACGAAGTGTAGGCAAATTATTAATAATGTTTTATCCATTCGTGAAACGGAACGCATTGTCGGTAACGTACAGAATACTAAATTTTCAATTTACGAGGGTGAAACCTCGGATTCCACACAGGATAAGTGGTTTACATTGGTAGTAAGGTATGTTGAGCCACGTCGCTTATCAGTAACTACAGAATTATTACAATTAATTCATATTGATGCCAGCGACTGTTCGGCAGAAAAGATTTTCAAATCCTTCGAAAATCAATTGTCAAAAATGGAAATTCCACTAAAGAACATCGCTGGTCTTAGTTGTAATAATGCCTTAGTTATGACTGATAAGCACTCTTCTTTCAAAAGTAAATTACTTCAAGAAGTTCCTGATCTCGTTTTAATGCCGTGCGTTTGTTACTCTGTAGCGTCAGCGGCCAATGCTGCGTGTGCTGCAATTCCCAAAGAGTGCCTAGAATTGCTCCGAGGTGTTGTATCATTCATAAAGAACAGCCCAAAACGGACTGAAGTTTTCCAAGAATTTCAGGAGACTTATCAGAACTATCCTTTAAAAGGTCTAAAACTACCTGACATACACTGGCTTGCGTTGCATGAGTGTTTTCAGAGATTTTTGCAAATCTGGGACGATTTAGCCCCCTTTTTTGACGAGCAATTATTTTCAGTAAAGTCAGAAGCTGCTAAGATTCTCTTGTCATCGCTTGGCAGACATGATATTAAAGGGTATTTCTATTTTTTGGAATACACGTTAAATATTTTAAATACTTTCACTGCTACCTTCCAAAGCAGGCACACTATGGTTCACGAATTGCAACCATCATCAACACGGCTCCTTCAATTTTTCTTAGGTAGGTTCTTGAAACCGCTTCATTTAGAAAATTTCAACTGTATTAGACAACTGGATTTTTCTTGTAAATCTCTCCAAGTTCCACTAAGGCAAGTGGATCTTGGTAGCGAATGCGAAGAATATTTGGAAGGGGCAGTGAATAATGGTATGTCAGAGGTTGAGGTATACTACTTTCGTAAAAATTGTGTACGGTTTTATATTACCTTAAGCAATGAAATTAGGGATCGTCTTCCTCACGACGACCCTTTCCTAGAACAGTTGACGGTTTTCAAACCGACAAATGTGTTCAATGGTAGCGACAGAGATTTAATTTCCCAAAATCTCTTGGCTGTCGCTGAACGACTAGGAAATTTCAATGCCGTAGATTTGCAAAAAGAGTGGGACTATTTGTATTACGACACTTCCTCTTCAGATAAAGATAATTGGTCAAAATTATCATTCGACGATATGTGGATGGACATCTGCAATCGAGAAGATCCACTGAAAAATCGGCTTTTTCCTAATCTCACTAAGCTACTCAGCATTGTACGATGTCTACCACACTCGGATGCCGCGTCTGAACGAATATTTTCGATGTTTCCTGAAATAAAATCTAAGAAAAGAAATAAAGTAGGGATGAAGCTCCTAGATTCCATTTGTGTGGTGCGGACGTCCCTAAACGCCAGGCACGAGACCAGTCGCACTATGTCGATCGATAACAGACATTTACGTCGAATGTCTGGGAAGCATTTATATGCAAACAGTGAATTCAAATACTGTAAGAATCCGCAGGCCACTGTTGTCGAGGAGTCGTGAATCTGCGCCTCGATCGAGCGTCATCTGCTCTATCTTGATATAAAAGTATGAAACACATTCGGACTGTACCATATATGTTGGATATATATGGATGTATGTGATAATAGCACAGACGAAAATCTCGTCTGTGGTGATAGAGACCTAACTTTACTGTGGGGTTCTCAGGAACCTAAAATCTATGACTTTTCGAGAACAATGGGCATGCGGAGTCTTATAGTATCTGTAGTCACTGATGCAAGTTCGTCAGGCTCGGGAACCTTTAAATTGTTGATTTTACACACGTATGAAAACAAATAGTATTTCCACGATGTTGGTGGGTCAATTCTGAAGTCATTACATAATTACAATTGTATTATAGTCGTCTCTGCGTGTATTTACCCTACGTGTATTTCCGCCGCGTGATACCTTACATTTTCATCGACTGATTTATTTTTATCAATAAAAATGATAAGTTTAAAATAATATTTATATTTTATCTTATATTATTACGATTATGATTATAATTATATGTATGTGTTTATTTCTTTTTAGATATAGATAAGTATAAGACTATTCAATGTCGTATATGCGTAGACCAGGTGCCACAGTTGTTGGAAACACCAGATATATCAGTAACCCTTGGAGTACAGTAATCGGGTCTGTTTGACCCGAGTGTGTAAAAACCATATCTAACTCATCGATTTGTAAATATAATTTAAGCTAAGAGTTGTTCATATTTAGTCGTATAAAAAAAGCAGGTGGTGTTTTAATGATCTCGTTTGAAAGTATGTTTAAAAAGAAGGAAGCATGGGCTTTCAAACGGACCCAGACACCACTGTTTCTATGAACATTAAAAAGTCTGTACTCCGAAGGTTAACGAAAAACTCGAATCTTAAAAATGCGTCGCAAATTAACATTTTTTAATTTTATATTTTACTGAGAGGTTATAAAGAGAAATTACAGAATCATTATTAAGTAATTCCAACACATTTTAAAAGATTAAAGATATATTTATAACGTAACGTGTTAATCTAATAGATTTTTCTACGAATGTTTTTATATTTATGTACTGTAACAGTTAGAATAAGGATAACATTTAATTGTAAGAATAATTTGTGTATATATAACATAATATTGTTGCGCGGGCGCGGCATAATCTTAGTAAAGAGCTATAAAACCTATCGATAACACGTAACAAAATGTATGTAAATAACAAAATTTGAATATGGAAGAGGAAAAGATTTATCTCCTTTTTTTTAAATGCCTCACAACTTAATATTTTTCAAGTTTTTATTTTACTGAGGGGATACAAAGTGAAATTACAAAAGAATTAGAAATAAAAAGTAAAACCGCTACACTAGGATTCGAACGGGATCTGACTGCTGCTCACCGCGTCGAAAACGTGGATTGTCGGCGGAAAGACCCGAACGACAGCGTACGCGGTAATAGGGGTAAAGAGTAATAACTTTTTTGCTAAGGTAAAACTTGTTTCAAATCACCTCACGAGTCTCCGGGTCTTTCAATATTTTTGTTACACCCTGTATGATTAACCACTTTAAAGATATTTAATATTCTTATTCTTAACTCTAACTTTGTTATACCTTATGCTTGTCGCGTATCTTTACAGGTTTATTTGCTTAAATAAATATTTATATTTATTATGAATGAAGTATAATACGAAATGGAGTTGATTATAACTGAAAGTATTATATATACTGCTTTTTCTGTGATGAAATATGCGAGTTAAACGCGACACCGTATGTATCTGGTCTGGGCGTGCTGGGCGATGAAGTAGGCTACGCGCACGTGTGAGAGAGGGGCGTTGCCAATGTACAATAAAAGGGCTCCATTTAACGAATGGCTACTGTACCTAGTCGGTGGCATTACTTACAATGTTACATGGCTTAGGACAAATGTATGGGACTGTAATAAACAATCTGAAGCCAACGGCATTAATTTTGAACCACTGGTTTCAATCAGATTTGCATCTTCCTGATACATCAGTTTGCTCTTGTGTAGTTAGATGGCGTCACCAGTCACTTTTCTGCACTTTATTTAAAACTTAAAAAAATATTTAATTACTTTGTGATATCTGGTGGGTTTTATTGTTAACAATAGTCACGAAGAAGTTCAGTAAATAATCCAATTTATACACATTATTTCTTTTATACGAATTTACTTTTTTAATATTTCTATATTGTTTAGATGTGAACATTACAGTACGCAGAACGGCTCGTAAATGAATTGATTTACCATGGTATCTTGAAAGCTTTTTATTCGCCACGCTGTTAAATTAAAGTTTAGAGAACGCAGATTAAGCCACATTAAGTAGCA